CAAGCAGCATCAGAGGAGCAGGAAAGCTGACATTTCGGGTCTGGATCTGAAGAGTAAAGAAGGGTTCTGAAGAAGGGTCCAGACCCGAAATGTCAGCTTTCCTGCTCCTCTGATGCTGCTTGGCCTGCAGTGTTCATCCAGCTCTACACCTTGTTATCCCTGATTAAGTACATTTCTTTCATATTAATGAAGTCATTACAGTTAGTATTCCCCAGAAATGTTGCATGGACCACATTGGGTACAGACATGGGCACTTCAAATAAAATTCTGAAGGATTAAAGTTACATTAAAGATAGATCCAGAACTGTCAAAACAAGAGGGAGCAATAACATTGAGATATAACAACTGAAATAATTATTTTCTCCTTTAAAATTTATAAAGTGAAGATTAATAGCAATAATATTTCAAGTACTTACTATGTATCCATTATGTGGAAACTTTGGGGAACTACACAGCTGATATGCTAGAATACCACACATTCTGCAGACAGGTCCTTTATCTTGGCAGTTTGGACTTCTCATGAAATCTCTTCCCATTAGCCTGAAGGCCATGCCAAGTGGCAGAATTACTCAATGTGGGGCTCAGAATTTGTTTTTATATTTGCACAGGGATGTAGTCTTCACAGGCTGGCCCAGCATCTACCCATCTTTATTTACCCTGAAGAAGGTAGTAGTGAGCTGTCTTCTTGAAATGTTACAGTCTGTTTGGTATTGGTACACCCAGAGAACTGTTCCAGGGTGTTGACTCAGTGACATTGAAGGAATACTAAAATGATGATTGGAGAGAAACTAACAGGGAATTGTCTTTTGGATATTGTCTGAAATGGGGAGCTTCACCTAGCGTTATAAGTGTTTTTCACACATTATCTTAGGTATTTTTGTTGCTCCATACAGTTCAGGCAGTCATTGGACACGTATTGGTGGAAGGAGATGTGGCTGAACGTAACACTGATCACTCATCCCTTTGGAGTTTCTGCATGTGTCCACCTCAATATTCATCTGTTTTGGTCTAGAATTACTACCACAGAAAATAGAAATTAATCTTCAGGCAGAGGTGCAAACACTTCACTTTCTCTGATACTCTGCCAGACAGGCCTCTCTAGAATTTCTAAATCTATGTCATCACGGGAGTTGCAGGCTCAATCCACTCTCATCATGGCCTTATCCACATGGGAAACAATTTTCAAGGAATTGTCAGTCAGTGTGACAAGTGTGATACTGTTAGGCAAATTACTTGATACTTTGAGATTTCAAGTCATGCTTTGTTAAAGGGTTGGATTCCCAGACTTGCTAACCTGTGTTGGTCATTGAGCTCAGGGCTGATGAGATTTGGAGCATGTCAGATGTGGGCATTAGAATCTTGAATGAGTTGATTCCATAAAGAAAGTAACCAGAAGAAAGTTAAAAAAAGTCAGGTTTAGAGTAGCAGACTTGCACAAGATTAAAATCAAGCCAGTGCAGGCTGAATGAGCTTGACAAGAGAAGTGGATGCTGCATTTGATCATATCAAAGATGAGGAGGAATAGACAGTGGCCAAGTTTCAAAGTGCTATCCATTGGTTCGAGACCTTTGGTCCTGTGGGAAACGTGGAAACCGATTGCCAGAATTCACATAGAGATGAGTGCAGATCTTGTGGGTGGCAAGTACGTCATAGCAGAAATGTCTGAGTCTCCAGTTGGAAATTCTGTACTGTCATGAACATGAACCTATGCATCTTTTCAAAAGTATTTGATTCATTAATGCATTTATTTTATGAAACTATCTTCTTGTTTCAAATACGCTGTAATTCAGACATACTGATGAGAAATTACCATTTTTATTCTTTCAAATGAACTCTGTGAAGTTTATCATTATTTCAAATTGATCCTTTTCAATCTGATTATATTTTGTGGCCGAAATATTTGTGGTGATAGAATTGTGTTCGAATGCGATCTGCCTTTGCTGACACAGGATGTTAATTCTGTCCAAATCACAGAAACAGATATTTCAATAATCAAGGTCTGTCAAGACAGCTTCCTGAATTGATGAACTGGTGGTTATTGAACAGTAAATCAGATGCTTGGGAAAGGACCATTTAAAAGCACATGACTAAGGAAGCCAAAGAGTGTTGCAATATATTCCCTTGGGAACAGTTACATTGCTTGCTTGCAGTGGTAGGATATACTTATGAGACCGCTAATGTCAAAGTTTCCACTCCAATTTCTAGGTGCCAGCCCTACATGAGATGCACAGTCCTCCTACCAAATACTCATGTTTCCTTATTTATTAACCAGTTGCTCAAAACTGAACTGTGATAGTGAGATAGCAAGAACTGCAGATGCTGGAGTCAGAGATAACAAAGTGTGGAGCTGGAGGAACACAGCAGGCCAGGCAGCATCAGAAGAACAGGAAAGCTGACGTTTCGGGTCGGTACCCTTCTAGAGAAATCTGCTTTCCTGTTCCTCTGATGCTGCCTGGCTTGCTGTGTTCCTCCAGCTCCACACTTTGAACTGTGATAGTGTTGACTTGTGACCAGAAGTGCTGAAGTAGCAGTAATATAATACAATCATTATACCTATGGACAACTGGTTACAGTACTTCCGACTTGATGCTATGAGCTTGTAGAATCAGTATTGTTTTGAACATGATCATATATGAGATTATTTCAATGGTTGTACGTTTTAAGTTCTTGGTAGTTAATGCTGCTTTTACATAACTCTAAATATTTGATTAGACAGATTCAGAGTGTTTAACAAAAAGCATAACTGTGGATTCCGGAAATCTGAAACAAAAACAAAAATGGCTGTTGATATCACAGCAGGTCTGGCAGTATTTGTGGAGAGAAAGCGGAGGTTTGGGTCTAGTGACTCTTCTTCAGAAGTCCTGCTGAGTTTCTCCAGCAATTTTCTTGTTCCAAGGTATTGAATTTAGCCTGGAAAATGTATATGTTCTGGCCTAAAGAAATTACATTGCCGTTTATTGGTTCAAAATTAAATTGGAAAAAGCAACAGTTCTGTTTTTCCATTAATAGCAAATTACATGACAGAGATATAAGTTTTAAAATTCTTGTGTCTTCATTGCATTAGATACTTCAAAAAATATGGCATAATTTTACTGAAATATAAACTAAAAATGCTGAAAGATTTTGGAAGGCTTTAATAAAGAAGTAAAGCTAGTCAAAATTTTATGTGTAAATGCTTTATCGAAATTATAAGCTAAAAGAATTTTAAATATTTGATATGGTTAGAGAAAAGAGAAACAGAAACTTCAGTCGTACTGTTTGCTAAAACCAAATGTGCAAAGGTGTGGGGGAGAAACCAGGAGATTCTCAGTAGGTAATTATGCTCATATAATAGCCAGTGCAGGTATAATGGGCTGAATGGGCTCCTTCTGTAGCATAACACTTCTGTGATTTAGGATTAATGGGTTGGTTAATTGCTTAATAGAAAACAACGAGGTAATAAAGAACAATTAGGTGATGGATTCAAATTTTGAACAAAACAGCTTACACTCGCTTAAAATAGAAAGGCAAGAGAGGGGATCACACAAACAAAACAACAGGAAAATGGTGAAAATTAGTTGGAGGAGATCTGAAATTCAAACAGAAAATGATGGCAAATTGCAGTGTGACTACCAAAACTAGTAAAAGAAAATACAGGTCAATGTCATGCCACAGACTGCATCTCCAAAAGTCTTCACATAATGAGTTAGATTTTGATTCCATTCCATTGTGCTGCATGTTCAACTCGTGTTGTCAAACTTTTTAAGAACAAGAAATAAGTGTTTACATTTGTGACTTTTCAATAGAAACACACAAAAATCTGCAAACACACAAAACTGCCTGAAAAAGAAGGATATTAGTATTTAAGATGGACACTTTCACTTTTAGATGCTGACTGAACTACATCAGCATTTATTTCAGGCATTATCGCACATCTTTGAAAATAGTTGAATTGATGATCTTTGAGCTCCTTAGTAAGCAATTATCTACAGCTGGCCTACATTGATGGAGACCTGAAACCTTTTTTTTGGTGAAGATCGATATATTAATAAATATCTACCAATTCTTTTGTTTGTCAAAGCTGGGAATGTATTTTTTTCCAATAATTTTTGTTCAGGGGTTCCTCTGCCAAACCTTTTTTTTCCCAGAAGTTAACATACGGTAATATTTAATTTGCTATTTCTTATATTTAAATAAAAAACATCATGTCAGCATTCAGTATCTGTCTGTTCTTTTGCCTCCTTCATGTCATATGAGGAGTATTCTGGGATACCGTGAATTGGTGCCAATATTGCTGGCTTTGTATTCTGGCACTGAGCAGACACTGAGGTTTAAATGTCTGGAATAAGCACAGTTATAAGTATTAAAATTTAGAAAACATTTTTTTATTTTGCTAATAATGCATTTTTCGAATGGAGGGAGTGTGAATTATACACAGATAAAATAATCTGATGTTTCTAGTGCAATAACTGAGTTGCCCTTTCCATTACCCCTGTTAGATTTATAATGATTTACACTAGCCTGAGATTAGCATCTACAAGACAAATTTGGAAGTGACCTTTCAGTAGATTTGTTTGAGTTATTTTCCTCTCCTGGGTCATTGGACAAATCATAATTCTCAATATGGTAGTTCCTATTTAAGAATACATGAGCACACAGAAACTTGAAATTATTTACAAAGGTTGGGTTTCTGAAAAGAAGTGAATGCAAGTAAAAACAAAAGGCAACTATTTTAACAGTGAGTTTGAAAATTTCAAACTCTTGACCATATTGATAGCAAAGCAGCTAAATTAACCTTTTTTGATTGGGTTAATTGGAAAATGAATGCACAACTGTTCAAGTTATTAAGATGGAAATATATAAAATGCTATTTGTACCATAATAAAAGCAAAAGTGGGTTTATGTTGACATTTTGCATTGGAGCAAACTATTTGCAGATAAAATTCATTGAATTGTTGTTTGATTAGATTGAGCAGTTTATGTAAACAATATTTTCATACAATTCTGCCTTATGTAAAAATGCATAGCATGAATTGGAATTAAAAACATTGCAATAACATTTGGACAGTGTGTTGAAATGCCTTGTGGATTGCCTTAAATATGTAGTACCAATGATTTTCTTTCTGGTTGCATAAGATAATGATCTTAGATCACACTTGGAAATTTTGAGACCTTGGTACGTGTTTCACCTCTTCAGATGATACCCTTACACTTACTGTGAATGAGCTAATCTCACATACTTTGGAATGAGACAAATCAGATGGGAACTGATTGCCTGTTCAAGCGAATACTTTTATATTGAATTTTGGAATTCCTCTGTAGTAAGCATTGTATAAAATATTTACTCGTACTAGATGTGCGTGTCACATAAGAAATGTTTCAATCAAAATTTTGAGGGATTTTGAAAAGTAGCTTTGGATCATTCCAAATACGGTCATGTTAATCAAAATTTTTTTTTTATATTGTTGCTAATAAAACTTTTCTATCTTTGTACTGTTTTTTAATTCAGAAAGTGGTGAGTGTGAGCAATCCTCTCTTCCTTCCACTCATTCCACCTCGATCGCAAGGCTTCACCGCTGTCGTCCTCACGTATGACCGTGTTGAAAGTCTATTCCGAGTGATCACGGAAATTTCTAAGGTGCCCAGCCTTTCCAAATTGCTGGTTGTGTGGAACAATCAGAATAAGAGCCCCCCTGAAGGTAAGATGTCAATTCAACAGTATGCTATGGATACATATGGAGAAGAAGTGAGTATGGGAATGTAATAAAACTAAATAATCAGATCATATAGACTAAATGGAAGAGGTTTGACCATTGTACATAGTTTGTATTTTTAATCCATAAAATTAAGGATTCTCAAAACTTGTGGAAGTGAATATTTTATTGTCTAGACCAGTGTGATTTTATCCATAGACTCTCCTGCCTCTAAGAAACATAGCTTTGCTGTGCATTCGGGTTGCGTTATACTTGATTTGAGAATATGCAAGATATCAATAACAGAAATAGTCTGATCTTAGAAAATACATATTTCAATTTTGCAGAAAATAGTCCCAAAAAAAAATTCCAATTTTCCCAAAATAGTTTGAAAGAGAAAACAAGTTAATAAGTGTTGCTTCAGTTTATAAATTTTCATTGAAAACATAGTAAGTTTACATATCCTTATAAATCACAAGTGAGCAGTGACCCAATTTCAGTGCTAAATTTAGAATATTTAATAGGCCATTTAAATAATGCACTTTTATAATCTGTGGATATTTAGTTTATCTAGTTTTATAAATGTGGCACTACATTTCAATGAAGAGTCCTCGTAGAAATGGAATAAATTCATAATTTCAATAAGTACTAGTTCATGTAACAGTTCATTTTTTCCACTGTTCCTCCAGGTGTTTTCTCCAAATCAATTACGTGATGTTTAATAGGAAAAGAAAAACTACTTTTCAATTATCGTCAATAAAATGTGGAGCTCCACATTTTATCAACTCTGACTTCCAGCATCTGCAATCCTTGCTATCTCCTACTATTCAATTATAATGTGGTGTCACTCAACAGTATCCTCTGTCACGCCAACATCCCCCGTATCAAGGCATGAGTTCCATTTGATCACTGTACGGTCAGTTGGTAGACCACATCATCCCCTACATGATGTCCAAAACAAGCCCCTCTGCTCCAAGCTTCGCCACAGCAAGCAGTTTCGAGGAGGGCCAAGAAAAGGCTTCAAGGTCATCCTCAATGTCTCCCAGAATAAAAATGCATTATCACCACCAATTGGTGGAAATCTCTAAACCAAGACTTCCCAAATCAGGGAAGAAGCCTCTGTAAAGCAGCCAGCTGTTTCAGACATCTCTGACAGACCCAGTTAGAGGCCAGGCACAAACAGTGGAGTGTGTAAAGTCCGGAGCAATTTCAGAATTACACAATGGAAGTTAAGACATTCAACGTACTAAGATTTCATTGCATCTTTCAATGTTAAGATAATCTGCATGTGTTCTGTCTTTAAAGAACACAAGTATCTTATTGATCACATAAAGTGGGTTTGCAATCCATGTGTATACATATATTTGTATGACTAGAAATATTTAAAGGCTTATGATTAAAAAGTAGATACTGATAAAACTGCATTTGCTTTCCTAGGATAAATATTTCAATTCCACTGTGAAATATGAAGCACAAAATGTAGTCCTTGCCTTTTAAAACAATAATCCCTTTCCGGAAGAATCAAGTTTGTGAGTAGGTGCTTGTGTAGATAAGAAAATCAGCACCACCTGGGTTTAAGGTCTGCACATAAGCTTGAACATTTTTAGGCTGACTTAAAACACTCAATTACTGAAAGTAATGCAGGCGTTTTCGCAAAAGAAAATGTGATTTATAGCCAATTAAACTCAGGAAGTTATTGAAGATTTAGAGTAATGAAGCAGAAGTATATGCATCTCACAATTTGAGGCACTCTGATAAGCAGCACTGGTTCTATAATTTGAAAAGTACTAGTTTACAAGCTTTACTATTGCAGTTAAATAACATAAAATTTCACTTTTTAACCATATTCTTTACTTAGATTTAATTGCAAACAGTGCAGCAATTGCTTTGATCCCCAAGATACTTGCCTATACAGTAGCTTGTATTAGCACACAGAATGAAATGAAATTGCAGTCATGGCACTCCCAGGCTTCTCTCTCACAAACCAAAACAAGCTGGGCACTCCAAAATTAAACCAAGACATAGACAAAAGTAGTAAAAGAAATTTATGATCTAAGCCTAGCCTTATGACTACAGTAAATCATTATTTAACTGTAACATGGCCCAGGAATGAGGAGAAAAGGGGATTCGTCTGTACCCAAATATTTAACTGTTTTTCTGTTTCAGATACAAATGAACCTGTTACATAGTCGTATTATGTTCTTCTTACTAGTTTTTTTTTTTGCAAGCAAAAATGTGGAGTGTGTACTTAATTAATACTATTCTAAGGCTTGGCAACTTTGACTGTGTCATATCCCATGCACAGAGAAGACATGACCATTTCTTGTCCAACTATGTGATACAATTTCTTTTAATCATATATGTAATCTAAAGCTCCTCTCGTCAACAGCAGCAACTTCTAACCAGTATGATTGTATACCTTGTTGCCACCATGGCATTGATGTTCTGCTCGTTAATAACTCCCTCACATCCAAGCCTCTGGATCGGTTTCTTGTGACCTGCTTTCAAAAAGATAGCAGGCAAGTGCCTGTCAAAAACGTAGAGTTCCAATATGCTCATTCAGTTTTAGGTAGCTTTTCTTAAAGTTTTGAAGAATCCAGACACTTGCCTGAATTATTCCATCTTTATTTTTGCTACTGACTGCTTTCAGATAAAACTTAGGTGCTGGTGCTGATGATGTTCTTCAAATTTTAGTAGAAGAAACAATAACACCAAATCTCCTTTCAAGGTGATAGTTTTATTCTTTCTACTCCGTAACTTATCAGCGCTATCAAGAAAGCTTGTGTACTATCCCAACACCTGTATCATGATACCTGCCAAAAGTGAAGCTTAGATGTCACAGATTTTGTTTTAAATAAAAATATTGGACACTATTTTGCTGTGAAAATAACAGCTTGATTGTTAAGACATTGTTAATTATGCACGAATAGGACACCACTTCCAGCAAGTGGTTTTAGTTTATTTTTTTCCATGGAATTTGGTGATGCTGTCAGGGCCAGCACTTGTTACTCATCCCTAATTGCCCTTGACAAAGTGTCTTGCTAGACCATTTCTGAGGCCAATTAAAAGTCAGCCTCGTTTCTGTGAGTCTGGAGTCATATGAAAGCCGGAAGGGGTAAGAATTGCAGATTTCCTTCCCTAAAGGACAATAGTGGACCAGATTTTTATTGCAATGAATATTAATTGTTATTTTCACAATTCCTCAGCCTAGCTTCATGTTCAAATTTATTAACTGAATTTAAATGCCACAAAGTGAAGTGATGGGCTTTATACCATTGTCCCCGGAGGATTAGTCTAGACTCTGGATCGGTTCTAGTGAGATTACCACTATGCTGTCATCTCTGCCTGGGGATGTTTTTTCTGTAAACTTCTTGAAAATGGCTCCTTCAAACAATTGATCATTCAAACTTGTTGAAAAGTGGGGAGGTCCTGTTGTAATATTCTAGAAATAGACTAAGCTCACCAAAAAAAACAGGACCTTGTGCATTCTAGTCTAGATGCCTTTTAACAGCTTTGTAAGTATTAATTACTGCTAACCAACATCCTTGGCACAAAGAATATTTTTTCAAGTATAAAACATCATTCCATTAGCTATTATTTATAGTTAGATTTTGTTTTAATTTTAAAAATTCCTTGCTTTTCTCTTTTTTTCACTCAATCCAATCTTTCCTCCCGTTTCTTTATTTTGCTTGTTTTCCTTGCTTTGTCATGGTGTCAAACAATCTAACTTCTTATTTCTGAGTTAAACCATGCAGTATACATTACTGGTACTTCAGCCTGGGATTAAAGGGACAAAGGTACTCGCTCTATTCATAGAGGTTCCAAATGCCTTGTAGAGCTGCTGCACTGTTTGATTATTTAACTTATTGGCTGACAGAAACTTCAAATGAAAAAAGATCATCGAAAGTTTGTGAACAAGTGTAAGTTTAACAAAAAGCTAGGACTGTTCATTTACTGCTGACATCTGCTCACTCTTATTCAGTTCAGAAATATCAATAATTGTTATATTCACAAAAACACATAGTGCTTGTCAAAATGAAGTTATTGCTATATGCAATGGTGTATTTGTCTCAAAAGGTGGAGATGAGCAAAGGAGTACTTTCTGTAATCGTGAAAAATATAAAAGTTAGAGATACCTTTGTATCAAACCATATTTGGCTTTCAGGAGACGGAACTTTAGAATTCTCAAGACGACATTTTGAGGCCGTAGTAAAACGGGTGAGTGCAGAATTTCACAGCAGCATGCTGGTTTCCTGACTCTACTCCTTTTCCAAGTCAGTCTCCCAGAAATGAGTGTCAGTGTAGGCAGGGTTCAACTGCTGACTTTGGTTAAATGGTTAAATGTGCAAATATGGAAGGCAAACAGGTGGTATTGGGAGTTATGGTAGAGCTGTGTGCTGCTGTTCATTCAATAAACTCTATCACAGGGAAAAGGTGCCTTCACGTGTAATTCATTTATAGGCTTAGCTCCAAATTAACATTGGGGGGTAGCAGAAGGTGGTTGCCTGATAGGAAAGATTGGAAATTGAGTTACTTTTCAGACGGAAGGTTGTGATGTGAGTTACTTTTAAAAAGAATGCTGAAACCAAAAGCAAGGTGTCAGTATACAATTTCTGACTGATGTTCTATGAAGTTGAACCTGTGATCAGTGGAAAAACAGAAGCAGGTATATGGATGCAGATCATGACCTTACCAAAGCAGCAACAAGGTATGACATTGGCACTATCATTTTCTGCTAGCAGTTGGGTCAGGTGTAAAGTGTTTTTACAGAGCTAGAGGCTAGGAATTGGACATTGAGGAAGGTTTGAATGATTTATTAATGTCTACAAACAAAATTTGTTTTTAAAAAATGACGATTTATGAAATGCATTCAAGGGATGGTCAGTCTTTGAATTTAGAAGACTGTTGGTTACGCCAGAGAAAAAAATGGAATTTAATAGACTATATTTAAGATTGAAAAAGTTTATTTGTAAATCCCAAAATCAATGCTTGCCCTTAAATTGTTAGACTATGTGAAAGTAATAAACATAGATAGACACCTAGTATCAGCTGGAATTACATTTTCAGAAAGAAGCACATTTTGGAGCAAATAAACCTTAAAAAGATTTTCAAGAAAAATGCTTATTCTCAGTAGTTTAATTCATTGGCTTAAATGGGACATTCAGTGGGTGAACAAAGTGCAGAGGATTCATTGATGATGGAAGTGCGAAACTGCCCAGGTACAACCTATAAGCAGCTATCCAAAAGAAGAACCACAAGTTAACAGAGTGAGAACAGGGATGCATTTGGCAATTATAGTAGATGACAAGAACTGAATAGAATAGAATAGAAATTTATTGTCATGTATGCTTTTACATGAAAAATACAGTGAAAAGTTTTTTAAATCGCTCTACCACAGCACCTGCATCAATGACAGAAGTCGCATATAATAATAAAAAAAAAGTAAAATTAAGATAAAGTTTGTGACAGTCAGTTAACGGCTTCTGGGCTGGGGAAGGCTGATTAAGGAATGATGGAATACCCTGAAGACACAGCTGGGATGTGACCACCATGCTGGACCACAAGCATACTGGATTGGAAGCCTCCACCAAAGAAAACCACCATGCTGGGCTGAGACCGTCACTCCTGGATGAGACTGCCTGCTGGACCACTAGAATGCCTGGACGCTGAAGATGAAGAAAACCTCCACACGGCAGCAACATGTCCTCACTGGGACAAACCGCCACACGGGGTGACTGCCACACAGGGAGACCGCCATACCTTCCACCTCCATCAGGCGCTGGGCCTAGATGCAGACCAGGACCCTCAGCCTAGCCTGCGAGTCCAGGCTGAGAGAGTCAGCCAAGGACCTGTTCCTTGCTCGTCAGGACACCCCAGCCTGGAGTGGAGCTGTGTTTGGCTCCTCCTGGTGTTGCTGCCGCCAGAGGCCTCCTCTTTCACCCCCCATTCTCCAGGCTTAAAAGAAAAGAAAACAAAGAATAAA